CCAATCAGTTCTCCTGAAACACTGGCATGGGTGGAAATGAGGGCATCTGCAGGGGAATCCAAGAAGTCCAGGCCATGTAAGGAGTCAAAGTGGGCATGGGGAAGCTCCTGGGAAGGGGTCAATGAGAAGCTGTTGGCTCTGAGCAGCTCCCATCCCTGTGGGTCCACCTGCAAGCATCTGGTTGGTAAGCCTGGGCCACTGTTGGTCATCAGAATCAGTAGTTGCAAAGAAGATCTGGATGAAGATTGAGAGTGTGAAGACAAGTTAGAACATAGTGGGCACATCTACATCTGTCCATCTCTGAATCTGATCATAAAACAAGATTCAGAGAGTAAAAGATTGTCGCATTCTACACTCACTCAACTCCCTCTTTTGGCCAACTCTACCCTGGAACCGTACAGGGAGGGAGATTCTTGAGCATATAGTTCCCAGATAAACTGACAACAGGACAATCCAGCACACCCTCTGAATGTCTGCTTAAATTAGCCCTGCAAAGCTCTTCGAGGACCCAGAGAAGGTATCAAAGGACCTCTAGGATGCATTAGCCTCCAGGGTGTAGCTCAGGAACACTGACAAGCAAAACCTTGAGCCATTGGGTCTGTAGGACAGCTTTTGTCAGTTTGCCTCACGCCTTAAAGGAGCATGAGTGCTATTGACTATGGAATCTGAATGCTGAAATTGCAGACCTGGAGCTAAGTAATGACTGTCTGATTCATTTAAGTCATCTCGGCTTCAAGTTTCTCATCCATAAAATGAGAATGATCACTCTTAGCTACCTTTTCTATCCATTGATCTGAGGAGCTGATGGGTAGAGGTCAGTGCGTTTATTAAACTCAGATGAGATAATTTTATGGACATGTGGAGAGCAGCTGTAGCTGTCTTCCCACAGAAATTTGGCCAACTTTTCTGCTGCTTTGCCTTAGTTTTGCCTAAGAGTTTTGTGCTGTTTTTAGTGAGGTAAACAATTCATAGGAAATTCTGGCTTCTCCGTAGATTTCTCTTTCCAGATTTCTATCCTCAATAGAACCCTTTTTCTATGTCAGGTGATGGTGGGAAGGGAGGGGCGGTTGAGACTCTGAATACCCTCAGGTCATGGACTTCCTCTGCCTGGATGCTCTCCCTATACCCCCAGCCCTCCACCTACTATTTCTACCAGCCTAAATCCTTTTCACCTTTTAGTTCCCAGTTCAAAGGACATTTTCTCCTTTCTAAATGTTTTCTAATTCCCCTCAGCTGGATGCAATTCCCATTCCCCCGTTTTTAAGCCAGTGGGCATTCCTATCTTTCATTGCAATCACTGTACCCTGACAATGCTCTGTATTTGAATACTTATCTTATTCTTCTACTAAATTTTACATTCCCAGAGGCAGGGGACTTGCATACTATGCTCGTGCAACAAATAAGTAATATTTGGCATTCTCTACAGTATAGTCTAGGCAGAATTTGGTATATAAGTAATTGCTGAATTAAGCTGAAAGAAAACAAATTGAGGACATGTATCCATGTGTGGGTACCCTAAATAACAAGAGCCAGAAAGGACATGGTTGTCCATAGTGAGAATTAGAAAAATGAAGAGTCTGTGATCCCCAGCCAGATCACTGTCTATTATTATGAATTTTATGTCTTCATGTGATAAAGTATTTTCCTTCCTAATGTTAATGTGACAGAAATGGGACAGTCCAGAAAGAAGCCAGGGTTCGATATTCCACCTGTTCCCAGGAAGATAAATGATTTTTATAGAATTTTGCAATTCATAACAGGAGCTGCAAATATTAATCAGGGCCAGTGACCCCCTCTGTTTAAGTTATAGCTGGAGCTGTCACTGAGCCACATCCTCTCTGAGAGACAGTCCATGCACCCAAGATAAGGAAGGTTTCAAGAGGCCCTTGAGCCAGAAAAGTTGTTTGTCAAAGTGTCTATGTCTTTTGTCATGGATGCTCTGGGTTGGTGGGTTCCTTTCTCCAGGGTCAAAACAGTTCCAAAAGCAAAATTCATATCAAGAAATACTTGTGGTTATCTCTCTACACTTGAGCAAGTCACTTTCCCTCTCTCAACTTCCGTTTCCTCTAGAAGGAAGGAGATTGAAATAGCTCTTAAAGATCCTTCCCTCCCAACTCTGATATTCTAGGACTCTATTCTGAGCTACAGACTGAATCCCCAGGGCTACAGGCTGAATCCACAGGGCCCCAGGCCCTTCTCTTTCCTACTTCTAAAGGTGTATATGGCTCAGATTGTCCCATGGGTCTCAGCTGGGGCATGCTTACCTGTTCTCTAAAATAACATGGCTCTGCAGGTGATGACTGTTTATCTTCCATCATGAAAAGGTCCCTAAACCTTAAAGATACAAAAAGGGAGTTTATTTATCACAGAACTTCATTAGGTCTCTCCTTAATCCAAATTACCTCTGGTTAGTTTCACTTGAAAGTGTCCATGCTACAGGCATTATAGAACTCAAAAGACCTTGGGTCTTTTGGAGGAGGCTGCTGTATCTGGAAGCATTAATGTTCAAGAGATGACTGCTCATTAGTAAATTATTTTTGTATTATATGTTGATAGACTACAAACAAGTTCAAGTTCATCAGATTCTTCAGCTGAAAGCAGTCTATGTGTTGAAACTACTGCTCACTATCTTCTAGTGTGTATGTATGGATCTGATAGTATTGGATATGATGACTTGTTAGAATACTCGTATGTCAGAATTGGAAGAGAACATAGAGCTCAGCTAGTTCAAACCCCTGTTTTATTGGGTGAATAACTGAGAGTTAGAGAGGGACGTTTGTATAACAGGTTATGGTAGAGTTGGGAATAGGGCTTAGGACCTCTACCTGCCAGATCCATACACCTCCCATTATTTTAAAGCAGAGGCCACCAAGATAGTACACTTCAGTTCATGCAGCTATTCATAGAGGAAGCCCTTTCCAAGGTCTTCACGCTAAATCTATTTAGTCTTATTTTTATTAAGTTCTAAGAAGAGCAGCAGCTTAACTGGATTCTATTTTACAATATATTTCAGCCAATAAATTCATAACAAATTCAGAAAATAAAACACTACAAAAAGAAGGCATAAAAATTGCAAAGGCATTAGAGTTTGAGGACGTTCAGCACAGGGCAAGCAACACTACACAACCCAATATCCCTCCCAAGGTGGTTGACGTTCATAACAGTGTCCCTGGATCCCCAAGAAAAGGTTAGTATGTTTCACCTAAGAAAGCAGGAATTGGTATAACGCACTTTAAAAAACATTATACCAAAAAAAAAAACCCCTTGTTTTTTTAAAATTATAGTTAAGTAAAACTTCAACTATCTGGAAAATTCAGAAAACCAAAATAACAAACCAGCTGTGATGTTCAAGGAAGTGACATTTTAGCTGCGTGCAGATAGGCACATTCTACGGTAATACGGCTGATGCGAGTTAGGCTAGTATCTGCAGAGAAGAGGAATAAATAGCAAAGCCATGATCTCATCTTCTGTTTACACTTCAAGTCCCAAAGTTAGTGATTAATTGTCCTTGTGTTTTGTTGCCAGGGCAAATTGTTTTTCTTTAAAACTTCCACTTATGTTAAATAAATAAATCATTAGTTCAAAACAGAAGTGTCAAATGTCAAGATACTCTGACATACTAAGCTAATGAACAAAACAATGAATTCATTAGAATCGACTAGAGCTAGGCAGCGGTTGAGAGCTTTTCTTTAATGACTTTGAAAGGCAGCAGAAATATTAATTCTTGCTGAGAGACTCTCTCATACATCTTGGGTAAAAGGTCAGCCTAGAGGTTGCAAACACAAAAACAAGCTTAAAAGAATCGGTTTGGGTATAAATGATAGAATGGTGGGTAGGCCAAGTATTCATGGTCAAATAAATATGCCAGCCATCTGCCATACTGTGCTTCCCAAACCAACACAAAAACTCAGCATTAGGCAACCAGTTTAGGACCTCTGCTTCAGTCTCTGAATTTACACAGGGCCTCTGGCTCTTCCAAAGTGGTGAATTCTTTTAGCAAATAGGCATTTTTTGCATGTCTGAATCTTAAAACAAACACACACAAACATATACTATTTCTGGATGATTCCAGTAGTTTCAGTATTATTAAGACTACCTGTTAAATGTAGTTCTGATTAGATGACTTCCCTGTTCAAAAGTTTTCAATGTCTTCCCTTTACTCACAGAATGAAGAACCACGTATTATTATGGCATTCAAGGTCAACCATAATCTAGTTTCAGCCTATCCTTCTAAGTACATCTCCTCCTGCAGTCCCCCTTGGCTTCTCATTGTTCTCAGAATGGATCTTGCACTTTGACTTCTTGATAACAAATATACTGTTATGTGCCGGGTCATGTTCCAAGCACTCAAGACATATCTGCAAAGAAAACAAAGTATTGTTCTCCAGCAGCTTACATTCTAGTGGGGATCTTTCACTTCCTTCTGAGTGTATTCCCATTGCTTGTGTTCCATTAAATCACTTGTCACCCTGTATAATAGCTCTGTCTTAGTTTTCATCAGTCTGAACACTGTCTTCCCCATGCACAGCTCTATGTCTTATTCTCTCTCTAATCACCCCCTATCCCATGCTATGCTCAGTGGCAGGCACACACTGAATGCTCAATAAATGAAATATATTCTATGTAAGGTTTCTTTTCTTTAGAAATGTAGTAAGTGTCTGCTGCATATAGAATTCATCTGTGAGGTTATATAACTGTTTTTGAATTTTAGCATCAAGTTAGTTTCAACAAATATGCCATTTGGTTGTCAACAGGAATGACAAATGTCAAGCTACTTCTGATGGACCTAAACAAAATGAATGAAACAGTGATTGGGCGGCCACATTGACTTAACCTGTAATGTTTCTTTCCTTAAATCTCAGAATGAACCCCCACTCGTCGCGTTTCCCAAGCCACCTGGCCTGCTCCTAGTCAACCCCTTCCTCTTTTCTACTGGAGACCAGCAGAGATGCTAATTTGGGAAGCTGCTCATCTTGTACCCTTTTTCTTTGACTCCAAAGGTAGAAACTGAAGACCAGTTGCTGGCAATCTTCTGTGGAAGGGAGTCCACGGACACTGAGCATACCCCTGGCCAGGAAGTGGTCCTCTCCCCTGGCTCCTTCATGTCCATCACTTTCCAGTCAGATTTCTCCAATGAGGAGCGATTCACAGGCTTTGATGCCCACTACATGGCTGTGGGTAAGTTGGAGGAGTGGCTCATCCACAGGCCTCACTTTCTCTCTAAAGATTAACAGTGCCTTGTGCTGTGTTCTTCACAGTGAACACCTGTGTACACAGATTCTGCCATGAATGCCTTACTGCATTTTCTCTATCACGTATCTATCCACCTGGTGACTAGTGATGTGGAGCACCTTTTCATGTGCTTGTTGGCCATTCATATATCCTTTTTGGAGAAATGTATGTTCAAATTTTGTAATTGATTTGAGAACATACTTCTTTTTATCTTTATATTTGCAATGCTTTGGACAGGGTTAGACCCCTATAAATGACATAGAAAGAGAGAGGCAGCGTGGAGTAGACGTTAAGAGCCAGCCCACCTGGGTTCCAATGCTGACTCCACCATTTACTATCTGTGTGACTTGGAGTCAGTCCTTTAAGGCCTTTAAGTCTCAGTTTTATCATCTACAGATGGGAATAGTAACAGTCCTGCTTGCTATTATCACAGTTGTTGGGGGATAGTGGCACCACCAGGAGTCAGGTTGCTTGGGTTTGACCCTAGCTCTCTGTGATCTTTGGTAAGTTGCTCACCTCTCTGGGGTCCAGCTGCCTCATGTAAATAGAGATAATGGCTACTTGTGGGCTCTGTTCCTATATGAGGGAATGCTTGTACCTCCCAACTCAGTGAGCAGCCCATACTTAGTGCTCTGTAAACATGGGCTGTTGTCTTCATCATCACACACGGATTGGTTGACTGAGAGGCTCTGTCTGCCCCCAGATGTGGACGAGTGTACAGAGCGGGAGGACGAGGAGCTGTCCTGTGACCACTACTGCCACAACTACATCGGCGGCTACTACTGCTCCTGCCGCTTTGGCTACATCCTCCACACGGACAACAGGACCTGCCGAGGTGGGCCCAGGGGTGACTCTTCATCACTGTTATCGCCACATTTTCCAATCAGATTAGGAAGGCTCCGAGAAAAGACAGATATGCAGTAGGGCCAATCAAAAACGAAGTCAGAGAGCTGTGCCTCAGACACCACATGGATGAAGATGCTGAAATGCTCACCAGCCCTACCTTTTAGGCCATCTTTCTTCCTGGGCAGCAGAAATATCTGCTCTTTGTCCCTATTGCCTCTCCTACTGCAGGTAATTGGCCTGGCCAAGTTAAGGGGGAAAATTGGTTTCCCAGTCCTCTCTCTGAGCCTTACCCAGCAGTTCCTTTTTCTCTTCTCTTCCATGGCCCCTGAAGTTTCTCTGTGATTAAGAGATTCTTAGTCCAAAGGGAAGAAGAGCGAAGAGAGAGGGAAAGACAAAGACAGCAAGAAAACAGCTCATTCCTGCTCTCTCTGTTTTCATCTATCATCAACATGCCTATTCTGTCCCAATCCCTGGGCTGGGCAGGGGTGGAGAAACAGCAGGGTCAGCCCCTTTCCATGGGGACCATCCTGGCTAGCACATAACAGCCACACACGCAAATAGTGAAATGTAGTAAATGCTGCACAAGAAGTGTGGCCACAGCACGATCAGACCTGAGTCTGCCTAGGGAGTACCAAACACTTCCCAGAGATGGTGACTCTGATGGAGATGAAAGAATAAGGAAGACGAGAGCATTCAGGCAGAAAGAACAGCTTCCACAAACCTTCTGAGACAGGATATGATTTGGAATGTTTGGGGAATTACCAGTAGATTAGTGTGACTGCAGATAAGGATCTATGTTTTAGAAAACTCCCTTGGAAGCCCAGTGAGGGGTCATCGGAGGAGGGCAAGATTGGAAACAAGAATTCTTTTCCTTTCTCCTTCAAAAACTTCTCCTTTCTTCTGAATAAAATCCCTATATGACTCATCAGTCATACAGGAGTTTTCATGAAAAGGATTATATTTTCTATGGTTTTCACTGAGTATTTATCGAGTATCTACCATGTGTTGAGTACAGTGGGGGCTAAGAATGAGCAAGGTTTCTTGATTTCTTTTTCATTTTCACCCCTGCCTCCAGGAGACTTTTAAAACATTATCTTCCTAATTGCCCTTACCCATGAAATTTTAATACCACAGCTACATTATATGCAATGTTTATGTTTTATATGCCTATCTGTGGATTATGCATAAAAAGAGTAAGACTTTCCCCCAACCAAGAACCAATTTTTAGCCCCCTCTGGGGCAATATCATCCCCATGAGAGCGCTTGGGGTAGAAAATGAAAGTTGGGGATTCAAGTGACCTCAATCTAAACCTTGTTCTGCAGCTTACAATGGTGGGACTTCAAGTTAGTCACACCCCATTTTCTGGGCCACAGTTTTCTCATTTGCAAATGAGCAGGATGAACAAGGGTTTAGAAAGAATTGACACCCCAGATCTAGGTTGGGTCAGCCCAAGGACAAAGGTTCAGTGGCCAATAAAGGAGCCTCAGCAGGGATAAGCCATGATCAGGCTCCCAGGACCCTGGGCCCCTGGTAAAGCAAATATAGGGGGGACAAAGCAGAACCCCTGAGCTCAGGGGACTTTCAGTAGAGTAGGGGCAAGAAAATCCACAAAACAAACATATGGTAAGTAGTGGTCAGCAGCATGAAGGGAAACAAAGCAAGGCCAGGGCCCAGAGAGTGAGGGTGTGTGTGAGTGTCCTGTGTTAGATGAGGGATGGAGGCAGGCTTTGAGCAGAGGCCTAATGGAGTTCTGGGCAGGGGAGAGAGCAGGACAAAAGAGGCCCAGACATCCCCCCACAACCACTCTATCTAACACCTTCCCATCTGAGACCCCCTCCTTCCCCAAACCAATATCAGAGAATCTGATGAGAAGGTTTATCACATTCACTGCCTTTGAGTCTGGACTCTGAAAATTACTGTGTGTGTGGCCTTGAAAATAATCATTGAACTTTAATTTCCCCATTTGTGAGGAATAATGGGATAATGATTCTTTCCCTGCTTGTCTCTTGGGACTACTGGGAAATCGTACAGTAACAGATGAGAAAGGAGTTGCTGTGGCCAGGTGTGGTGTGTCACTTTGCTTTGCAATGTTTCTCACAGTGGAGTGCCATGACAACCTCTTTACCCAGAGGACCGGTGTGATCACCAGCCCCGACTTTCCCAACCCTTACCCTAAGAGCTCCGAATGCTTCTATGGGATCGAACTGGAGGAGGGTTTCGTGATCAGCCTGCAGTTTGAGGACATTTTTGACATTGAGGACCATCCAGAAGTGCCCTGCCCCTATGATTATATCAAGGTAAACCTACAATGGACCTTTGCCCTGGCAATGCTGGAAAATACTGCTGGGTTGGGAAAATTGATATTCTTGACTTTTACCTTCTCCCAGGATAAGGGGGCCAAGTAGTGTGCTTCCCAAAAAGTAATTCTTTACAATAACATCCACTACATTAAGATCAAGTCCAGGGATCTTCCCTGATCTAAAACTATCCTCTTGGCCACCTGCAAAGTCCCTTTTGCCATATAACGTAACATCACCATGAAGTAACACCACAGGTGAAGGTCACGTGGGACCATCTTAGAATTCTGCCTCCCACACACAGCTTCCCAGGAGCTTTACTGTGAGCCTTATCCAGGTACTTAACCTCATGGGGCTTTACCTTTTTCCACTCTCCACAGGAAGAGTGACAAGATGAAGGTATCACCCAGGATTGTAGAAGTCACCAAATGAGAGTTAAGGACTCCTGGTCCTCACAGATGGAAGGAAAAGAGTTAAAGGCATAGGGAGGACCCAGGACTGGGAGTTGGGAAATCTGGCTCAGCTAATAGAGCCTATTCCCTTCTCTCCATCCCACTTCCTCTATCCTAGTCCAAACCCCATTAACTCCTGGTCAACGGCAAAGCTTCCTAGCTGTTTTTCTTGCTTCTGCCCTTGCCCTACACAGTCTGTTCTCCCATAGCATCCAGGCTGATCTTTATAAAATCAGATTAGATCAAGATTGAATGTGAAAATAAGCATAAACTCTTCAACATGATGTGGTCCTTGCCTGCCTTTCCAACTTCGTGACACGGCACTCCCTCTGTTCCAGCCATGCTGGCTTCCTTTCTGTTCTTGATACTTTTCAGGCTCTTTCTCAGCTTTGGCCTTGACCTTTACCTATGTTGTTTTCTCTGCCTGGAAAGTATTCTCTCCCCCTCCTCCAATGACAAGCTCTTACTCATCCTACATGTTTCAAATCCAATGTCACCTCCTCACAGAGGCCTTCCCTAACAACCTATTTAAAGTTATTTTCTATCATATTAATGATGAATTATATAGATTGCATAGATTTTACTATATAAATTATAAGTATATAGTATACATTTATATTATATATATATATATCATGATTATTTTTATAACCCTTACCGCAGCCTATAATTATTTTATTATTCATTGTTAGACTCATCTGACTAGACTGCAATGTCTTTCAGAGCAGAGGCCTTTTTGATCCTGTGCGCATCGACAGGGCTCTGCCCCTGTCTGAGTCGTAATATGTTTGAGCAGATAATTATTAGCCTGCCTTGTCCACATCCAGGGCCATTGTAAATTGTAGATTGGACAGTGGAATTGGAATTGTTTGGTGAATGGTAATACCCACTAGAAATGTGAGTCAATATCATGGGTTCATATGGAGGTTTCCAGGAAACCCAAGGTGCAGTGTTAAGGTGGTCCCTGCAGCAGCCACCACTGCTCTGATGTGACCCTCGTTTTCTCCATCTTGTCCCTCACAGATTAATGCTGGTCCAAAAGTTTTGGGACCCTTCTGTGGAGAGAAAGCCCCAGAACCCATCAATACACAGACCCATAGCGTCCAGATCGTGTTCCGTAGTGACAACTCAGGCGAGAACCGAGGGTGGAGACTCTCATATAGTGCAACAGGTAACAAACAGCCTCTCCCCTCCTGGGTCACACACACTTTGTTGCCATGCTCAGTTTTCATGGAGCAGTGGCCGAGAGATGAGGCGGTGCAGGCCTGGGACTCCTCTTGGGTTGTGGCACTCCCAGTTCTGTCACTAAGTAGCTTGGGACCAGGGTGCATTCTTTTTCTGACTCAGTTTCCCATATCTATAAATTGGGATGAAGGGCAGCAATGATGGTGTGTTTGGACTAGATATAGTTTTGAAAAGTTGCTGTACTTCAGAATCACATGGGGAGATTTTTTTTAATTGTTTCTTGAACTGCACCCCTTCACACTGTTATTCACTGGGCCTGGAGAGGACACTTGTAGTTCCAGCCCTGTCCAAGACTGAGGTGAATTTGGGTGTGGGCCTGTAGTTCCAAAAGTTCCATTATGGCAGTTTGCCTCCTTGTGTTCCCGCAGACTGGCAAAGCCCACAGGCCTCATTGCCCAGTACCCCAATGCAGCCAGTCCCAGCCCAATGCCTGATAGAGCCATTTGACCCAAGGGGTCTGCAGTAACTTGAGGAAGAAGAGGGTGGACATCAGCGAAAAGACCACAGCTGGCCATAATGACTAAACCAGTTTGTAGACTCCAATATCCTGGCCGGCATGATCAAATTCAGTGCCCAGTTCTGGGGAGAGAAGTGAAGAGAATATTAACAAAAGAGAGTTTGTCCAGGAAAAAATGTCAAGGGTAGGCCCAGATCTGTCTGATTTAGCCATTTGAAGAGAGGGCTCACAGGCATATGATCACAGTCTAACACTTTGAGGAATGGTCTTGAAAAGAAAGAGCAATTAGAGTCATCCTGACATCCCCCAAGAGGGCAAACTATACTCAATGAGTAAAAATAAAAATGGTATAAATTTTAATTGACTATGAAAACACGGTTCCTTTAACCAAATGAGTCCAAGATGAAAGGTATAGGTTTGGGAGGTATTGAGCTCCCTGTCACTATAAGAATGCAAATAGATGTTTAATATATATATATATATATATATATATATATATATATATATATATATATATATATATATATATATATATATATATATATNATATATATATATATATATATATATATATATATATATATATATATATATATATATATATATATATATGTATGTATTTGGGTTTCATCCAATGACATTTAATATACTTTCCAACCCTGGGTTTTGATGAAATCACGTGGCTGACCACCTCATTTTACAAATGAGGAAATTGAGGTCCACGCTGGAAAGTGACTTGCTCAAGGATCCAGAGTAAGTCTTCTTCTGGACCTAGTAGGTCCAGGCCCCTGATATCCAGTCCTGTGGTTCTCTCACCCCCATCAGGCCCTGCATTCTAGGAGCTGGCCTCTTGCTGTCAGACTTTTCCTTGTTTTCTCACCTGCTGCTCTTTCACTGCAGGGAATGAGTGCCCAGGGCTCCAGCCTCCTGTCCACGGGAAAATCGAGCCCTTGCAAGCCAAGTATTTCTTCAAAGACCAGGTGCTCATCAGCTGTGACACAGGCTACAAAGTGCTAAAGGTACAGGGTCCAGGCTGGGAAGTGGGAGCCACCAGGCCACAGGAATCTCCAGGGCTCCCAGGGCAGGTGGCCTTCCAAAGCTTCATGGTCCCACCACGGTATTTCCCGGCTTCCCCATAAACCTTCAAAATGCTCCAGAAATTCCAGTCTCCTAAAAACTCAAAGCATGTGTCCCAGACTCTCACTTCTGGAACTGGTACAAAAGTCTTTTATCAGAGCGTGGGCTGGTTTGAATTTCAAAAAAATCTAGATCTATTCAGCCCTACAGTCAGGACAAACAACCTTAACGAAGTTCATCAGGATTACTGGAGGAAACCGGGATGGAAAGCAAAGGTTTTAGAGGTGGCACACAGGTACTGCTCACTCTCCTACCCTGAAACAGTGGTTCTCCTAGGAATTACCTCCTTAATTTACAAAACAAAAGCACCTCCCAGTCCCCACCTGAGATCAATTAAAGCAGACTCTCTGGGGTGGGGCCCAGGGATTGGCTCCTCTTTATGTTGCCCAGCTGATTCTGATGTGAACCAAACTAGAGGACTGCTGCTCCCAAGAAGTGATTACCCAAGTGGGGTCCCCACCGCAGCATCATCAAAGGCTTGGTCCCCAGGCCAGACCCACTGAATCAGGACTCTGGGGATGGGGCCCAGCAGCCTATGCAAAAGCCCTCAAGGATGCTAATGCTCACTCAGGCTTGAGAGCCCATGCAATGAAAAAGGAGTCAGGGGTGCAGGTTTCCACAGTTGTCCAAACCTCTTTCTCTACCCAGCCCTTGCCTTTCTCCAGAGTATGACCAGGGAGTACAAATTCAGCATCTATCTTTCCCTTATCTTCAAGCTTGCTCTTGGAGGCCCATGGTTGGAAAATCTCAGTCAAGAACACTCCGGTTTGGAGTTTGAGCTGGTTTTACCGGGAAACAACCACCAGCCCCATCTCTCTTCCTTCTTCCACACCTTCTCCATGTTTCTTCCTAGGATAATGCGGAGATGGACACATTTCAGATCGAATGTCTGAAGGATGGGACATGGAGTAACAAGATTCCCACCTGTAAAAGTAAGAAAACAATATTGGTTGATTATAAAATAGTGAGCTCCCCAGCACTGGTGGGATCCAAGCAGGGACCACACAAAAGTGACAGCTTGGCAGATTCACTTTAAGAAGAACGGAGGCAGGAATTCAACAGACACATGAGGGTTGGATAGAAAGACTATTAATGTTTTTTTCAGCAATAAGACATTAGAATTCCAAAAGAAACTTCTGGTGGGTCCCAGTTTACTTTCTAAACACTAATTTTACCTCTGCCTGCAGAAAGGTTGCCAAACTTGCTAAAGAAATAGTGTGTCTTCAGGTTTGAAACTAGCTCTGGCAAATGCTAATTCAGGAAACTATTTTGGTCCCTGTGCCCAGAGCTGAGTGACCTTGCCAGTCTCTATGTGGCCATCAGCCATATCCACTAAGTTTTCTGGGACAGCTCAGGCTGTGGGGTCAGCACAGGAGACATGTGTGAAGCAGGGGAGGCAGCTCTGTGTGGCTTTTGGGACCCAGAGTTCTTGCTTTGGCTCTGCTCCTAACCCACCCCGTGACCGTGGACAAGAGCCTTCTCCTTAACTACAAAATTAAGGAGTTTGGACTAGCTTTAATATTCTAGAATATATCCTGGTGGTTCTAATAATGTAGTCCATATAAATCACTTAGTGAGCTTTGTAAAAATACAAATCGCCAGTCACCACCCCTCTCCCCCAACCCAGGTGATTTCAATGCAAAATTTATAAGGACTACCTCAATTTTCAGAAACTCATCTATGGCAATGGTGATGAGAGAAGGCATGGTGACAGAAAGGGAAGGAAAAGGAGAGAAGGAGGGAGGGAAGGAAAGTTTGCTTTAAAAAGGAGAGGTGAGGAGTCAAGAATCAGAGTTCGTCCCACCCACCCCTAATTCATGACATATAAACTTTGGAGTGGTGTCCTCTTCCCTTCTCCTAAATGACTGGATCCAGTGGGCAGGCAGCACTCCCACTGCCCCAATGGGACACTATCGGAGCGGGGCTCCCTTGAGGCAAATCTCAAGCAGAACTTTGGAGCAGAGTGTGTTTGTTTTTAATTTTCCTTTTTTATATGATGATGTGGCTGGAGTCAGAGCCCAATGTGGGAAAAGGGGGGACATTTTATGACTTCAACAAAAAGTTTCAACAAACATTTACTGGATGCCTGTGCAGCAGTCTATAGGGAATTCAGATGGAAAAGGCAAGGTCCAGACATGGAGGAACTCAAATGCCGGCAGACTCATCTGCCACCTCTTCCAGCACGTGCATGGTTCATGTGCAGTGCTGTCCCTGAGTTCCACCCAAAGGAAAGGGGCATTTGGAAGGAGGAAGTAAAGAAGGATGTGGGGTGTAGAGGATACAATGTGGCTTTGGAGTCAGGAAGTTCTGAATTCAAATTCAGACTCTACCAATTGAGAGTCCCTGAGCCATCTATCTACTCAGTCTTTTCGCCTCAGTTTTCTGCATACTTGGTTGTTCTGAGGACTAACCATGTTTATGTACATATCACACCTGTGGAGCACCAGGAATAGGTAAAAGCTCATTTCTTCTCCTCACTCAGAACCCCACCCCACGCCCCTACCCCCATCCCCACCAGGAATAGGTTTGGCTTCTCTCATTCACGCTTTTGGAAAGTAGGAAAGTTTAATAATAATTTTTTCCCCTGATGAAACACACTCACTTTTCATTGTAACAGAAGTGTTGCTCGAGTAAGGCACTACTCTATTTGATGGTACCCTTTTCTGTGACATGTTTTGTATACAAAAGAATGTCTGTTATTTTGTACCAAAGACAAGAAGAATATTTTTTTTCTCCCTAATATGATTTGGTTCTCCCAGCACAGCCTGGATTAGGGCTATTAGAGATCCCTATTCAGATACACTCAGCATCTCTGCTCATTCACTAAGTAGGTATTTACTGAGCAACTCTGTCCCAGGCATGTGTGGGGTTCTAGGGGAGATGTAAAGATAAACAAATCTGAGATGTTGAGAGTCCCCAGGGATTGTGGGCAAAGGGGTTGGGAACAGACAGGAAGTGTGTGTGTGCTGTGAGTAAACTTTCACTGGAACAGGAAGTAGAAATTAGGGGTTATTGTCCTGGCCCTGCCTCCACCTTGCTGTAGTGACCCAGGACAAGTCCTGTTCCACTCTGAATGCTATCCGTCAAATGAGGGTTAGAGCCAGATAAATACAAAGCTCGCTCCAGGGGAAGAATGTTATAATCCTCATGAGCCAGGATTTATGACTGTACAAATTCTCAAAATGGTATAAATTCCAAAATCCCAAACTGTCCTTCACACTGGCTGTGCCTAAACTGTGTGTTCTTAATCAATTCTGGTGGAGTGATTTCTAGATTTCCTGCGTGAACTGTTTCTGCTTTGCTTGCTAATTTTTCTCTTTCTCTTCTTTTTTTCTTCCTTCCTCTCTCTGCTTCCTTTCTCTGCACCCCCTGATTCCTCTTTGATCTTCACCATGGTGGCAGAAACCGAAATGGATGTGGAGAGCGAACTCGAGATTGAGTCAGAGCAAGTGACAGAATGACAGGACCCCACACAGTGCAGACATCCAGGAATGGATCACTCACAAGACCCCGGGGTCCCAGAGCTACTCCATCCCTCCCCACCCTGCCAACACTCCATTTCCCATTTCAGTGCGGATTAGAATGGACGCTGAACAAGGCAACACTGTCTCAAGCAGTTGAAACTCCTGCGTGTATGAGAACAGTCCTCCTTTTGAGAGTTCACCCATTATTCAAACATTACTATGGAAAATAATGAAAAGACAATGGGGTATTTTTTTAGTACCTCTAAATGTGCTGTATTCTTCTCAAAGGAAAAATTACTTTGGTCCTAAAGACACAAGATTTAATGTACAATCATAGGATCTTTGGTTGACCAGGTCAAAGTGGGTCCTGGCTTTAATCCACTTTACACTCCCAAGTTTAAATAGGCCAGAATGCCTATGACTTTATGACGATAATATTTTTACCTGTTGCTCCTTTCTTAAAAACCATGAGTAGGTAAAACTAAGGATAACTCATATAGCATGGATTTTTGGGACTCTATAATAGATATATCTTCATGCCCCAAAGTTTTCCTTCCACCTTTACCTAACACAGGGCTGAGGTTCCATCCTCAGGTGTTCTTTCCTCTGGGGCTTACAAGTTTTGCATTACTGAAAATTTACCGATTAAAAATTTTCAAAAGATAGGTATCACACTTGAAAGCAGCAATCCTCAGCCCTGGTGCCATGGGACATCACTGGGCCATAAATAGTGATAAAGAAAGGGCTGTGGAGTGGCAGCCGGCATGCTGGGAATCTCTGCTTCAGCCTGAACAAAATCTGGGTACACATATTAGAGAACCACTGCATTGCATTATGACTCCTCAGTCTATTTGGTAATGAAATGGCCGCTTGAGGAGGGCAGAATCCTGCAAGGGTGGACAGGGAGTAGTCTGGGGACTGCGGTGCCATCCTAGGGCAGGGGTGCCCCTGAGATAGAACATGGGATGGTCACTAAATACAAGCATCAGTTGAATCAATATTTTTAAGCTCACAAAGTATAACAGATAGTGTACTCGGTGTGATAGAGGGAATCACAATTTAGGCAGCGGGTTGATATGAATCCAAATAATTGCATTACCAAGCTACAGAAGATGCATACATCAGAGAGAGATCAATAAATAAAGAGAAACAGCCCTACCTGATTAGAAGAATGAGAAAAGGCTTTCAGGAAGAAGCAAGTTTTGATCAAAGCCTCGAGAATAGCCAGAGCATAGACACACAGGGTTTCCCATATGGGGAAAGCAGCAGGTGAGAGAGAGGTACAATGAAGGATCTGTGATGCTGGAGCATAAGCACAATGAGGGGAAGGACGAAGATGAAGCTGGGTGGGAGGGTAGGACATCCCTGGGGCCTGAGTGCCAGGGTGAGCCAACTGTGAGTTCTCTAGGAAGCCCCTGGATTGTGACAAAGCATACTCAAGACAGCAGGTCAAGAAAGATGTGTCTGAAGGAAAGTAATGGCAGCAAGAGGTGACAGTGGAGATGGGATATGGGTAATACATTCCATTCTAGAGAATAACGAGAAACGGAAGCCATGGGAATGGGAAAGAGAAGGGCATTTTGATTCCAGAGTGTGGAAGTGGACACATAAAGCTTTAGACCAGCGGTTCTCAACCTTCCTAATGCTGCGACCCCTTAATACAGTTCCTCATGTTGTGGTGACCCCCAACCATAAAATTATTTTCGTTGCTACTCTATAACTGTAATTTTGCTACTGTTATGAATCGTAATGTAAATATCTTTTTGTTTTCCGATGGTCTTAGGCGACCCCTGTGAAAGGGTCATTCGACCCCCAAAGGGGTCGTGGCCCACAGGTTGAGAACCGCTGCTTTAGAGAAAAGGATGAAACTCTTTCTAAAGCAAAAAAAAATAGACTAGCTAAGGAAGCAGGGTCTGGATATAGCATCTTTGTGCCAGGCAGCTGCTCAAGGGCCCTCAAAAAGGGAAGTTGTCTTTAGGCCACAGAGAGACATGGTTCTTTGCCTGCCACTGTAGATTTGGGGAGAAAGTGTACCCCTTCTCTGCTCACTCTCCCTAAGCTGAAATAACCTTTATTTTCCACTATGTATCACCTCTTCTATATGGTTCTAGGACCAGCTTTATCAGTGGGCAAAGTCACTTCTCTGGAGTGATGTGAAAGCAGGTCTTCTACCCGGAAAGATCTCTTCCCTCCATTGTTGGCCACGTAACAGGCTCTCAGTGCCTGACCATGTCTAAGACCAATGCTGGAATCCCTCCACCTGAAACTTGGCATCAGGTCTTGAGGTTACCTTAGGCAAAATGAACTCCTAGACCAAAGTTAAGGGCGGCAACAGTAATATGAAAATCCAGGCATCAATCAACGGCATTTCCAAATAAAGGAAAAAACATCTGCTTTGAGACTCAGCAGGAAAATACATCGAAAACTGATGATAGCCTTAAAGAATAAAGCGCCTCTTGTTGCCCTAGTGAAGACCTTCGTATGCTTTCCTCACAGGGTGGAAGAGTGAGTCTACTTTGGGTGGTCAAAACAAATGGGAATGGTGTGTCCAGGGGTTGGAGGCCAGGACAAAACATTAACTAGCTCTCCGGGCTTTTCCTTCCTCGTGGGTAGGAGGGACCTGCATTAACTTCCACCCTTCACCCTCTGCCCCATCCTGGAGGGCCTTGGAGTTAGCTATATTTTTAAGTTAGACAATCCTGTGCTCAATCAAACAGATGAATTTGGAATCCTAAAGTTAAACATTACAATTTCTGAGTAGCCTGAGGGGTAAATTATCCCCTCTCTGTTACCCATAGTGAGCAGGTAAAATTCGGGAAGACGGAAACTGGAAATTCTACCACGGTCTTGGAATGCAGTCCTCGGAAATTATCAGAAGATTGACAGCAAATGTCCGCCATGCCCAGCTAGCATTGCTTATAGCCAGTTTTAAGTAGAAAACAGATCCTTAAGAGCTATACGTTTGGTTTTCTAAAAAACAACAACAGAAAAGAAAACAAAACAAAACAAAAAACCCACTGAGTTTAAGGTCAGGTTTAGTTCTCAGACCATAGCTCACTGCATGACCTTAGACCAGTCAAGTTTCCTCCCTGGGCTCATCTATAAAGATGATATTCTAGATTGCCTGCCTTAAGGTGCCTTTCCAACTGTGAAATTCTGATTCTTCTGTGATTCTTCAACTCTGAAGGAGGCTGTAAGACCTAAGATAAGGATTTCCTTATAAACTAGCACCGCCCCCTAATGGAGGCCCATGAAGAGACACTGACAACCTGACTCCCCGCTGATTTATACTGAACTCTATCAGCGTTGACAACTCCCCTAAGACCTGGCTGGACTGGCAATCTCTCCTAAGACCACCTCTGAGGAACAGTCATCTTGGCCTTACCCTACAGCGAGCCCCAATGTCCAGCCACCAATGGTTAGAGAAAATGAGCAGTTGAAGACTAAAAATTGATCCACCCGGACCCCACCTCCTGACTTCTGTGCCTGCAGAGAGCCAGCAGGGTGGGACTGTATACTCATGCAGGAGTTGGGTTTCTTTTTGTTGTCTTTTTTTTTTTTTTGCCAAGCTCCAGTGTGAGCACATTAATGGCTCTTACTCAGTATGTGTTTGGGTCTGGAAGAACTGAATATTTTTTATTCATGTCAGCCAGAATTTTCATGCAGAGCCACAGGCTTCATGCTTGGGCAGAAGAGGCTAAGAGGATTACACAACAGAACTGGAAGTCAAGGAAGGGGTCCTGGTGGGGAACAGACAAGTCTGCTTAAATCTCAGCAGACCTGCCCTTGCCCTGAAATTGACACCAGGCCAGGTGAGTTGACCACACAGTAGATGAGAGAGACCCCAAAAGCCGGGTCACTGGTGACTACACAGATCGTACCCTCCACAATCCCTGGGGCACCCTTCTCATAGACTAGAACATTGGTTACTGAAGTTGTGTGCAGTACAAAATCTGCGCATCTGTATGAGACAGACCCACCAGATGGCCCCAAGATGAAGAGCAAAGGTAACTGAGGGTCTCACTCTTTTCTCTCTCAGTTGCAGACTGTGGAGACCCAGCAGAGCTGGAACATGGGCTGATCACCTTCTCCACCAGGAACAACCTCACCACATACAAATCTGAGATCAGATACTCCTGCCAGCAGCCCTACTACAAGATGTTCCACAATATCACAGGTGAGGCCTGTATGCCCCCTCCTACCTCACATCCTCTGGGTCTAGGCTTATGCTGGGGGCTGAAACAGACAGTCAGTTAGCCAATGTTTTGGAGGAATTGGGTGGAAAAACACTTGGAAACCTGCTGCGCCTCTCCCTGGCTCAGGCCTGCACCCCAGGATCTAGGCCACAGGGCACCGCTTCCCACACATACATACTCACAGCCTCCTGCAGAGAAGTACCCCTCAGGGAGATGGGAAGGCCGATCAGGTCTGCTCTGCTACAGAGTAGCACTAAGAAAATTCTCCCAATTTTTTAAAGCCTCCAAGCTCTCACTTCAAAAAGGGAGCAGTGATATAGCTCCCAGAGCTACCGTAAGACTCAGATGAGATGGTAGACATAAAGGCTTTTCGTCAGAGTTTGTTAAGTGGAGAAGAAAGGGAAGGGCAACAGCACCACAGGGCTCTGTGTCAACCAAGGCCCCTGTGACTAATGAGAAGTGCCTGCGAGGGCTGGGCAGGGCCAGGCAGGACGAAGCAGGAGTCAGATTGCACAGAACCTTGGACACCATGCTGAAGTGTGTGGTTGTTTCTGAGGCAACAGGGAGCTATTGGTGACATTGAGCAAAGGTGGGACATGGTCAGATTCTCATTTTAGAAAGAGGCCTCAGGCTGCAGAGAGGACTGGCTCAGAGGGAAAGGCATCAGAAAGATGATTTGGAAGACTTGCAATGACCCCACAATACAGGAATTAAGAACCCAGATCTACAGAACCAATGTGCTAACAATCAACAATTTTCTCCATTTTCTCCAATTTTTCCTAACTCTCCCAGGTATATACACCTGTTCTGCCCAAGGAGTCTGGATGAATGAAGTCCTGGGGAGAGACCAACCCACCTGCCTGCCAGGTACCTCATCCTCAAGTCCTCTGCCTCCAAGTCTCCCATCGAAGGCCTTTGGGCCACAGGTGCTCTGGCTGTTAATGGAGTAGGAAATGGGGGGCATGGTGCTTTGATTTCTTTTATTAGGAGGTACCTTCAGAGGGTCAAAGATCAGAGAAGTCCAGCCTCACACCTCAAACCAACCAGCCTCTATGTTCATGTGCTCTATCACTCCAGGAGCCTCCTGTCTCTTTTCTCTACAGCTCTGCTCCCTTCACACCAGGTTTTTTATCCCACCCCACACAACTTGTGTGTGTCGGGAAAATCAAGAAAGTGGGCACCCCATCATCAAGCACTCACTGTACTGTACAGAAAACAAACAACATCAGACAAATAAGTAGGACAGAGTAAGGAGTTCTTTCAAAGAGCAACGTGTGCAAGTGTTACTGACTGTGGCTTCCCATGGCTCACCTACTGACCTTGCTTTAAAATGAAAAAAGACTTGTGGTAACAGGGAGTGTCACTGTGTGTATGGATTTAGGAGATATTTTGTGGATATTTGTGTTAGCATTAAAAGTATGGATGATTTTCATCATAATCATTATATATATACATATATATGTGTATATATATATCATATATATATATATATTTTAAATCAACTTGTTAGAAAATCACAGCCCAATATGCACACTGTAGGGTTAAACAAATAACCCCAGAAATTAAATTTAATATTCACAACACAAAAATTTATACTTTAAAAAAAGCAAGAGTAGCAATAATTGAAAGATACAACCATTGAAAAAAGCACTCAGAAGCAGCACTGATTCTGTCTGTGTTTGCTTGAACATTAGCAGCTTCACGGTATGATTACATGTTGGGTGGCATTTGTATTTTACTTAATTAGAGTGTTGGATAGACTGAGCTAGTGTATTATTTGACTGGTATATTTTAGTAACCCTCAGTATCACTCAGTAGGATTCTAGATGTTAGACATTAAAATGGAAAGCCTATCAAGTCATCTACCATTATCCTTAAGAACTAAGAAAGTGTCAGCATTTGGGAATCAGCTTTGGCTATCACAGGAGCTATGAGATCCCAGAGAAGGAGGAAGTCACGTCACATGGTTGTCTAGGAGTGGAGGGGTGAGGACTGATTAGGAAGACATCACTTAGGAGGGTCTTATTCCTAAGGAAAAACTCATGAGCAGGTAGAACACGGGAAAAGTCAACCCACCCACACTCTGCAGATCCCCATCATCTCATTTAGACTTAGCCAGGAGCACACCCAAGGGCACAAGTGGTGAAGTATCAGGGAAGATAGGAATGATGGAGCTGTGACAAACTAGAGGGTCAAATCCCCCTTTTTTTTTTTAAGATTTTATTGGGGAATTGGGGAGTGGGAACAGTGCTGTGAAACCAGGGAAGGGGAAACAGACAAGTTGCTGTCCTTTTATTCTTCAGTCTAGTTGTGGAGGACGTTGCTTCACTGGCCCAAGTTGGCACCATCATTGCACTCTTCCCAGGCGAGGCAGATCAGTCGCCGGCTTCTGGACGGCCGCTCACTGCGGCTACTGGCCGCTCACGCTGGCTGCTGGCTACACACGGTAGTCCATGGCAACCCACTGCAGCAGGGGCTGCAGGCCACGCCATCGCCGGCGACTCACGGCAGCCCAGCTCCAGGTTGAGCTGTTGTTCAGCATCTTAGCTGTGGAGGGCAGTGTCACTGGCCCTCATATGTGGGATCCAAACCGGGGCCCTCTGGCATCCCAAGCCAGCTCTTAACCAATGCACCACTCAGCCGGCCTCAAATCTTCATTTTGATAAAATATTCTGTGGGCCAAGGTCCAGCCGAGTGGCTCAGTTGGTTAAGAGCTCGCGCAAGAGTGCGAGCTCTGAGCAACAGCGGTTCGATGCCCAGCCCGGGCTGAGTTGCCGCTGAGCTGCCAACAGGTGGCAGGATGGCTCAGCTAAAAAAAACAAAAACAAAAACAAACAAAAAAAAAAAAAAACCCAAGAAAATATTCTGTGGGCCAAAGAAAACAGTACTGCAGGTGAATTCCATCCTGGGCAGCCATGTTGCAACCTCTGGAACAGAAAGAGGCGGTGAGCTGGGAGTTAGGGGCCTGGGTCCTAGTCCTGGTACTATCATTTCCTAATTGTGATCCTTGGTAAGTAATATCGCCTCTTTGGAACTAGGCTTCCATACCTCAGAAGTGAGGGAGTAGGACCATGTGATTCATGACATTCTATAACTTTTAATAGTCATCATCCTTTATATTTATATAAAGCATCTTGGTACAATGAGTCATGAAATTCTTTAAACACCTGATGTTGGGAAGAACCATGGTTTATCACTGGACGAGGCCAGAGGTTTCTAAATTCTCTCCTGAAATACTGAGATTGAACCCAGAAGCAAGCCAGAATGGAGAAAGCCATTTCACTGAACATCATAATATACACCTTTCCAAGGCAACTGTTAAGCAAATATTATTTGCCCCTTATTTTACACATGAGGAAACTCAGTGAGGTATAATGATTTGTCCAAGGCTACCCACAGAAAGTTAGGTGCAGAGCTGGAAGGTGAACCCAATATTTTTTATGTCAACACAAGCAATGCTGAGCCAGTCTTGATCCTGATTATATTTATGCTAGTCTCATGAACCCAAAATTCTAGAATATCATACATGTGTTTTAAGAGCCCTCCCTCAGTACTTCCACTTTTCTAGAGATCAAGTCTGGCTTCAGCACAGCTGAAGCTATAATATTTCAAGAAGATTCCTTTGTCCCAAGAAAAACTAAATGTAGAATGATACCAGCCAAAAAGAACAGCCCCATTTCCATGAGCACTCCCAACCTCTTGAAAGGACAAGAGAATATCAGGAAGATAAACAAACTTTAGTGGAAAAAATGAAGTGAGAGTCAGAAGAAACAGGCTCTACTTATAGCTCTGCCACTAATGACTATGTCACTTACCTTCTCTGCACCTTGGTTTCTCCATCTGTAAGTTAGGTGATCTCCAAGCTTCCCCAATTCTGACATTCTGTGACCTGGGGTATGCCACTGGCACATTGGTTGGGAAAAGGCACCATTCGGTACTGGTTCTGTCATGCCCATGGACCAAGCCACAGGCATGTTCCTCACCAGACGAGGGCCTTTTGGCACTAGGTAAATTGTTCAGGGCTAATCACAAATCTGCCTTGAGATGTCACCTTGTATACTGCTGCTTGTAATTGGGAGTCTGGCCTTTGGAGGGTTAGAAAGGCTAGCTCACATCTGGCCTGGGGTCAACGACAGGGCGCCTTAGCATCATGTAAGAAGCGTTTGGCATCAAGAAGAAGAACATCTGGAAAACATTAGGTTGCTGAAAGCCTGACCTCCCAAAGTTGCCAAGAAAACGCAAATGCTCTTTGGTCTTTAAAGGATTGTTGATGGTTTCCAGGGCCAGAAATGTAGCCTGGCCATTTGCAACCAAGAGAAGGCCCACACTCACACCAGGCTTACCTCCCAGGCTTAAAAACCATGCTGGGAAGGGCCCATGTGAACTTGTTCTTAGCCAGCGGGGGGCTGGTACAGAAGACCCTCTGCGCATGAGCCAAAGGTGTTTGGCTGCAGGAGGCTGGTGGTGCATGTGCATGCTCGGGGTACAACTCGGTGGAACGAAGTTTGATCAGACCTTTCTTCTTCCCTTGAAGGTACTACAGGGTCCCTAGGTGCAATGATGGGTGGCTCAGAGCAGGGCCCATGCATCATTGCTTGTAGATTATGCCACCTTTTCCTAACCATGGATGCATCCATTCACAGAATGAGTCCCTTATGGGTTTTTGGGTTTTTTTTTTTTAATTTTTTTATTGTTAGTTTCAGGTGTACAGAACAATGCAATAGTTATCCTTTTCACCCTCACAAAGTAACAACCCCCCTCCCCCCATCTACTGCCCTTCCCCCCCGATATCATGCTTATCTATTACAATTCCATTGACTCCATTCCTACTCTCTACTCCATGTCCCATGACTATATGTATATATAATTATAGTTGACATACAATATTGTTCAACATCAGCTTCAGATATACAGTGTGGTGGTCAGGCCGCTACACCGACTATGAAGTGGTCTCCCCAACTAGACATGAGTCCATCTTGAAGGCCCATGTTTTAAATGGCCTGGTCCACAGATGGCCCTGGCTATAGCAGGGCCAGACTAGAAAGACTTAGGCCAAATATGACCCTTCACAGAGCTCACAGAGGCTAGTGTGACCTCATGACGTAGAGTAGGGTCCCGTGGTGGCATAATCTACAGTGGGTGAGATGTGAATTTCTCTTGGTGGCTCTGTTCGCATGGCTGACCTGACCAGTCTCCGTCTCTCGTCCCCACTCCCTCCTTCTTCTTACAGTGTGCGGCCAGCCCTCCCGCTCCCTGCCAAACCTGGTCAAGCGGATCATCGGGGGCCGGAATGCTGAGCCCGGCCTCTTTCCCTGGCAGGCCCTGATAGTGGTGGAAGATACCTCGAGGGTGCCAAACGACAAGTGGTTTGGGAGTGGGGCCCTGCTCTCTGAGTCCTGGATCCTCACGGCAGCCCACGTGCTGCGCTCCCAGCGCAGGGACAACACAGTGACACCAGTCTCCAAGGAGCACATCACTGTCTACCTGGGCCTGCATGACATACGGGACAAATCGGGGGCTGCCAACAGCTCCGCTGCCCGCGTGGTGCTTCACCCAGACTTCAACATCCAGAACTACAACCATGACATAGCTCTGGTGCAGCTTCAGGAGCCTGTGCCCCTGGGGCCCCACATCATGCCCATCTGCCTGCCGAGGCCCGAGCCCGAAGGCCCGGCGCCCCACACGCTGGGCCTGGTGGCTGGCTGGGGCATCTCCAATCCTAACGTGACAGTGGATGAGATCATCAGCAGTGGCACGCGGACCTTGTCAGATATTCTTCAGTATGTCAAGTTACCTGTGGTGCCACACGCCGAGTGCAAAACCAGCTATGAGTCCCGCTTGGGCAACTACAGTGTCACCGAAAACATGTTCTGTGCCGGCTACTATGAAGGTGGCAAGGACACATGCCTTGGAGACAGCGGTGGGGCCTTTGTCCTCCTTGATGACTTAAGCCAAAGCTGGGTGGCCCAAGGCCTGGTGTCCTGGGGGGGACCTGAAGAATGTGGCAGCAAACAGGTCTATGGGGTCTACACAAAGGTCTCCAACTATGTGGACTGGGTGTGGGAGCAGATGGGCTCCCCGCAAGGTCTGGGGGAGCTCCAGGTGGAACGGTGAACTGACTGACCTCCTCAGGGCCTGCCTGCCCTGCCCCAGCCCGAGTGAGGCTGACCGCACACTTCCGATGGCACACTCCATGTTACTCACCAGACTAGATGGGATGGGACATGCTGCTCCCCACCTCCTGAGAAAGCCCCAGGACCCTGAGAGGCAGAAGTGTGATGTAGGGGGAAAGTTTCTACCCGAGAGTCCTGGGTCCATGGTCCTGGGCAAGTCCCTTCCCTTCTTCAGGCCTCACTGTCCTCAGCAATACAAGGGAGCTAGATGTCTGGGCCAGTCCTAGTACCCCGCTCCAGGGCTGCTTTTCCCAGTGATCTTATTCACGCCTATTCAATTATCACACCCACTGTTGGTGTAACTGGGCTAGATTGTTAGAAAATGTTTCCATACATTGAGCTTAATTCTGAGTTCATGCATTTTCCCAGCTCTGCCCTCTGGGCACAGAGAAGTCTAGTTCCTCCTCTAGGAGAAACCACTCAGTTTGGGGGAAATAGGGATCATGTCCCAGAAGCCCCTCACTCCTTGTGTACCCACTGCAGTACTCTTATCCCTGGGGTTTCTCTCCCCAAAGCTTCTTGCAGTCCAGGCCTTAGCCCTTACGTTCCCTGCTAAAGGAATTTTAAAGGACAAAGAGAAAGCTGGGAAGGTTTGGGGGATTGGGGGGAGACAATAGCAGTGGGAGGCTGTTAAAGTCCTATTGTCAGCTCAGAACATGTCATTTGGGCCCATATGTTACACTCCAATACCAGCTGATAACACAGTGTGTCCACACTTGCCACTCCAGACAAGCACAAAGCAACCTTCCAGCCTTGAAACGCAGCATCTGAAAAGGCTTCCTGAGCCCCAGCCCCAGGCATGAAGACTCACCTGGAATGCTTGGGAAAAGAAAGCCCACACTGTGCCCTGCTGTGCTTCTGGGCAGGAAAATGGAAGAAGAATGGGCTCAGGACATTAGGAGTGACCTGATCCCACCAGGCTGCACAGCAGGCTGAGCTCTTCAGAAAACTCATGCAACATGGATGTTCAGAGGAATGCACTCCTCTGGCTTCCAGGAGCCAGTGAAGCAAGGCGGAAACTTGCCCATGAAAGTCAGTGAGAAGAGACAGAGAGAGTCAAGAGTCCTGGGCTCTAGCCCCAGCTCTGCCCACAACTGGCTGTATAACCTTTAACAAACCACTTTCCATCTCTGGGCCTCAGTTTCCCCATCAATAAAAGAAAGGCATTAGATCCCGCTCAGAGTCCTTCCACCTCCATTACTCAGTGCTTCCGATTGCCAGCAGCCTCTCCCTGACCCTCACGGCGCTGATGTCTGCCTCCCCCCAGAGCTCGCTGTCCTGGGATTCTCCAACACAGAAAGGCAGCCAGAGAAGCCCCTGAGAAGGATTCCAAGAGAACAATTGGGAAGCGTCCACTTTTCTAATCGGCTCATGAAACCACACTCCTATGTCTATGAACGGTGTATGTAGAGGGTGCTATATAGTATATATTTTATATCACAAGCTTCACTGCTCTGTAAGGTGCCTCTGCACTCTGTTTCTCCTGTCCGGGTTCTAAAGTGGAAATAAAACCTCCGCGGATAATCAACAGCCTTCATTTGTGGTTTTGGTTATTGTTGGTTTTGTTTTGTTTTGACTTTTTAAAGGGAAACTAGCCCCTCATTAAGCCAAAACCTCTCCCATTACAGAAGAACTACAACTTGTGTCATGTACAACATCATCCAAGAAGGGGCAATGAAGAATGGGGTTGGCTGTTGACATGTGCCCTCTCAGAGGCTGCACGTTCCTTCACTGCATTGCATTGCCTGCTATTTAAGCCCTTGACTTCAAAGAGCTTCAACTAGCATGTAAGGCAAGATCATGTACATCTAAGACAAAAGGAGTTAAGTGTCATAAGAGGAGTGGAGATTGGAGTATTACGAGAACTTAAAGGAGCAAGAAATCCATACAGCTAAAGGGGGACCTGAAGAGCTTTGCAGAGAGGTTGTAAAGACTGCACTGGGATGTGGAGGGGAGAGGCAGAGCGGACAAAAATCAAGCAGGCACGTGCTACGAGGGGAGTGAGCAATGGGGATTAAGGCAGAGTGGAAAGAGTCTTGAAAGCCACACTATGTCTGCACTCTATGCTGTAACTAGTCATTCTCTAATTTGGGGTATATCAGTGTCGCCTAGGATGCTTGTTACAAATGCAGATCCCTGGGTCTCACCCACAGGAAATTCTGAATAAGCAGGTCTGAGGGTAAGCAGCATGGTATAGAAAGTGGGGTGCGGGGAGGGACTGAGCCAGAGAGAGTGGTTGGGAAGCTGCTGCAACCATTCTGGAGAGAGACGGTGGACACCCACCAGACGGAGGGCTGTGATAGTGCAGATGTGTGTGTGTGTGTGTGGGGGGGGGGTTAAAAACATTTAAGTAGTGTATTGGGCAGGGCTTTGTGTCTAGGCTTAGAAGCAGTGCAGATGCCGGGGTGTGGGGGTGCACAAGTTAGCTTGTTGGTGAGGGCTGTCCATGGGATGCACTCATGCCGTGCCTTTGTTTGGAATTTGTATCATAATGAAAAGGTCTTGCTTTTTACATTATTGAGAACTGAAAGAAATCCTAAATTGTGTTTTACACGTTGTATGTAGCAGGTGCAAGAATTATCATGTCTCGTGTTCTATTATATTTTAGATTTTTACTTTCCTCTAGACATTTGGACTGTATGTTGTGACATATTGAGATACTGAGGTGTCACAAGGTCACATGCAGAGCACACTGTGACATGGAGTGGAGAAGACACATTACTCTCTGCTTCTCCTGGTGATTGTTTTGCTGGGTTAGTGGCTAATTGAATATGGGGGTTGAAGAAAAGAGAGGAGACAAGGATGAGGCCTGTGCAGACATCAGCAGATATCTGGAATAACAAAGGGGAGAAGGTTGGTGAAGGGTGGAGACCAGGGCTTGGTTTTGCTGTGCTGGCAGAGTTTATGAGCAATCCAACTGGAGACTTAAGGAGGGAGTGTTTCAGAGCAGGGGGCAGATTAGAGATACTGATTTGAAATCCATTAAGGTATAGGAGGTATGATGGCATAGGAGGAGATCGTATTATCTACTGGAAGTTTGCAGGAAAAGGATGGGAACAGACTGAACAAGGGAAACAGCAGCGTGGGAGGCATAGAGAGAAGAAGAGAAATGAGACAAAAAAGAGGGATCAGAAACACAGGAAGAGACGTGCTTTAGAACCCAGGGAGAGTGTCAAGAGGGATGAAAAGTAGTCAACAGTGCAAATGCCACAGGATAGTCCAGAGGAACGCTTCCGGGCTGGACATTCCCCAGGGACAGGGACCCGGTCACTACTGCCAACTCTGAGCGAGGAACCAGGGAGCAGGCCAGGTGTTTAAGGTCCCTAACCCTTCCCCTCTCTTCCTCCTCCTCCCTCTCTCTTCTATCTCTCCCCGCTTCCTCCCTCCCTTCCCACTTCCCTCCCTCCCTCCTTCTCCAGACTTCTCTTTTCTGAGTTTTAATCTCTTTTCTGAGGCAGGAAACTGCCCTTACATCCTCCCTTCACTGTCTCTTACGGTGAAAATTCTATGTTCAGTTCTCCAGGTGTTGGTTCCTTGAGACCTACACATCTTTTACCAAAATCCCTGACTCTTCAAATGAAAGTTTGTATTTCTAGACTTTGGTTTGTGCTTTGCTCTTTCCAAAGTCAAAGCTGTATCTAGCTTTACCTAAACAGTGGGTGCTCCAGCTTCAATAGTGAGGAGTCACGGGACAAGGAGACTTCCTAGGGATGAAGGTACATAAGATCAAATTTCAAATAGTGTCTTTCTATACATGTAGATATCACTGTTGACGTTCTATTTATTGACCCAGAGCCATTTTATCTCCATCTATGGCTGTGGATCTATTAAATATTCAAATGGCCGCTTTGCTTCCAAGTATGTGCAGAGCATGGCACTTCTTCCAAATTTACCTCCCAAGGAAGGGGGAGAATGTGGAGACTGAGTAACAACTCCTCTCTCCAGAAGCTTGACTATGGATGAGAGAAGAAGAGACTTTGAAATGAATGGGAAGCAGAGGAAACGGAAGTTTGATTTTTAAATGAGAATTCTACAAAGTTTTGGAGGCCTAGAGAAAGGAGAGATGCATGATACAGGAGAGGGGAGAGAATCCCCAAAGCCCCAAGAGTTTGGAAGGGAGAGGAAATCCAAAGCCCAGAGTTAGTTCTGAAGAGAAGGAAGTTTACAGAAGAAGCAGATGGAAGAGGGGGATGGTTGGAGGCTATCTTACCCCGTGGCCTCTAAGTATCTGCATAATGGGGGCAGGAGGTTAGCTTGGGGCGACCAGCTGACAGCAGGTAGAATTGATGGTGCTGGGAGATGCTGAAGAGGCAGGCAAGGTTGCAGCACACACATTTGAGATTTTCCTCAGCCCTGCTCAGCAGCCTGGTGACAACTACAAAGAAGGCAGATAGCTGCCTGGATCCAGGGACTTAAGGTATGAAGGCTCCGGGAAGTCACATAGGTAAGAGTCAGTGGTGCTGGCCAGAGTGGGGAAAAGCCCAAAGTTGGAAGTCAGGGGACCGAGAAGTAGAGTCTTGCTACTAACTTATAGGATAACTTTTGACAAGTCAATTCACTTCTCTAGCTACACGATGAAAGGGATGGACTAGATGGTGTCCAAGGGCTGTTCAGCTGTAAGATTCATGCGTGTCTGTGTCTGTGAATCCAAGTCAGTGGAACCCAGTATGAAGCAGGCAGTCACTTGTTGGGGGCAGGGAGGGGTCTTCAATCCCCAAGGCCCTGAGGCAGGGCTTCCCTGAGGTCAAGAGATCCCTGTGGATAGAGCATGGCATTTATTTATTAGTCAAGACTCTCACTTCAAGTGACATAAACACAATACGAACCATTTCAGGGCAGGGGGTGAGGGGGCTGGAGAGAGAGTGAATTACAGGCTCACATAGCTGAAAAGTCTATATCAAAAGGCTTCAGGTATGGTTAAATCAAGGAGCTCAAATATTAGGATACAAGAGCTCTCTTGCTTCACTCCTCATTTTCTAGCTCCACTTTCCTATGTTAGTAGCATCATTCTCAGCAGACTCTCTCTGAAGTGATCATTGGCATATCTGGGCTTAGAGCCAGCAGCTTAGCAACCCCATCTGATAAAGGCCCTCTCTCCAATATGCTTAGCAAAACTCTCAAGTCAGACTTTCATTGCCCTGGCCAGAGTTGCATTCTCATCTCTGAGCAATTGCCAGGACCAGAGGATGGGAGGATTTAATTAGTTGGGTCTGGGTCACATTCCTACCCCTAGAATCCTAGTTGGTAAAGTCATTCCAACTCAGGATATATGAACTAAGAATGGGAGGAGAGTAGAGCCCAGAGGAAAACTGGTGTGCTGTGACTGAAATGGGCAATGGATGCTGGGAGATCAAAAAATATTAATAACAGATGTTCGTAACAGAAGGTGATGAGATGGTAGCCCAGAGTGTGATCTGTCCCTCCTTCTCTTGGCTGCAGTGTGCGGGCTCCCCAAATTCTCCCGGAATCTGATGGCCAGGATCTTCAATGGACATCAAGCTGTAAAGGGCACCACCCCCTGGATTGCCATGCTGTCGCACCTGAATGGGCAGCCCTTCTGTGGGGGCTCCCTTATAGGTAAGGAGAAGGTGAAAGGGATGGAGGACTGGAGTTAGGTGCCAGGGTGGAAGCGAAGGGACCGGACTCTCTTTCTGAGACTGATCAAGATTAATTCATTGAGAATCATTATCCACACTGATAGCGGGGCCCAGAAGTAAAGTGTGGGACAAAGAGCCCTTAGCTGGAGCCAAGAGACACGTGTCCCTGTCCCAGCTGGCTCTTTCAGTCAACAAACACCTACCGGGTCCTGGTCAGTCTCTGGCACTGGGAAGGGTAAGAGAGTCAGCCCCTCAAACAAGGGTTACAACACAAGGCACTTACCTGCAGCTCAAAGGCCAGGTGTACCAGGGCTGTGGGATCAGGGGGAACCAGGAAACTCTCCCTGGAGAAGTGAGGGAAAGGAGATTAACAAACGCCTTGAATGCCCTGCTTAGGAATTTAGATTTTATCCTGAATGCTGCTGCAGGTTTATAAGCATGTTCTGGAAAGTTCTCTCCAAAGGCATGTGGTTTCAAAGGAGAGAGAATCTCTGAGGTCAGGAGTTCATTGAGGTCGCTATTACAACAGTGGGGAAGAAAGTCATTAGCTTCAGAATAAGGACAGGAAATGAGATGGAAATGAGGCAGATTCAAAAGCATTTGGGAAATACGATTGTCAGAATTTTGTCATGGATTGAATGTGGTGGCAGTAGGAGTGAGGGCCGGCAAGGGATCACTGACAGATCTTCCTGCCGCAATTTGGTTCAGATAATTTAAGGTCCCTTCCAGACAACATAAGAAAAATTAATAGCACTCTAGAGTCCCCGGCCAGTTCCCAATTTGATCCCATCACAGAGAAAAAAGGCCTGGATGGGTCCATGTCTGCCTGGGTCGCTCCTGGGCTGCAGGCCTCACCTCTCACTGATCCACCTCCTCCGGGGTACAGTCAGGTGAGGACAGCTCCTCATCAGGGATCTCTGAGGGGAGGCGCCCGCC